GCCATTGTTGCCCCCTGCCGCAATTTCCTCTCCGGCACTGGTGTGAGGGTGGTTTGGCCTCATGCAAACCTTTTTATGGGGTGTAAGATTCACAGGAAGCGGTGCTGAGGTGGTGGTGATCACGGTCACCATGCTGTCTCATGTGCCACCACGCCACGTGGTCCCACCCTCCCCACTTTCACCTTCCTCATGGATCCCTGTGTGGTTTAAAACCACAGAGACTGGTTTGGGTTGGAAGGGACCTTTAGAAATCATCTAGTCCAACCCTGCTGCAGGGAGCAGGGACATCTTCAACTAAATCACGTTGCTGAAAGGCCCGTCCAGCCTGACCCTGAATGTTTCCGCCACCTCCTCAGGGGTGCTCTCCCTCCTTCATCCTCTAGCCCATACGGATAGTGGGGATGGCCCCAAGCCAGAAGGATGGGGCTGTGGGGCTGCACACACCATTCCAGGTTCATCCTGCTAGGCTGGATGTGACACCACGTGGCCAAGTCACCAACCATCCCCTTTGTCATTTGCAGGTGCTGCTGAGGGGCCACACCAGCAGAGAGGACACTGACGGCAGGGACAACCACCATGGCCAACTTGACAGCCCTCGTGGGCTCTGGAAGGAACTCGTGCACCTTCCACGAGGAGTTCAAGCAGGTCCTTCTGCCTCTGGTCTACTCGGTGGTGTTTATGGTGGGGTTGCCCTTGAACGCCGTGGTCATTGGGCAGATCTGGGTGGCCCGCAAGGCGCTGAGCCGCAGCATGATCTACATGCTGAACCTGGCCGTGGCTGACCTGCTCTACGTCTGCTCCCTCCCGCTCCTCATCTACAACTACACCCAGAAGGATTATTGGCCTTTCGGGGACTTCACCTGCAGATTTGTCCGCTTCCAGTTCTACACCAACCTACATGGCAGCATCCTCTTCCTCACCTGCATCAGCGTCCAGCGGTACCTGGGCATCTGCCACCCCTTGGCCTCGTGGCACAAGAAGAAGGGGAAGAAGCTGACGTGGTTGGTGTGCGCCGCGGTGTGGTTCATTGTCATCGCCCAGTGCCTCCCCACCTTCATCTTTGCTTCCACCGGCACCCAGAGGAACCGTACCGTCTGCTACGACCTGAGCCCACCAGCTCACTCCACCGCCTACTTCCCCTACGGCATCACCCTCACCGTCACCGGCTTCTTGCTGCCCTTCGTGGCCATCCTCGCCTGCTACTGCAGCATGGCCCGGATCCTGTGCCAGAAGGACGAGCTGATCGGCTTGGCGGTGCACAAGAGGAAGGACAAAGCCGTGCGCATGATCATCATCGTGGTCATCGTCTTCTCCATCAGTTTCTTCCCCTTCCATCTCACCAAGACCATCTACCTGATTGTCCGTTCCTGTTCCGGCGTGCCCTGCCTGACTCTGCAGGCGTTTGCCATCGCCTACAAGTGCACGCGGCCCTTCGCCAGCATGAACAGTGTCCTTGACCCCATCCTCTTCTACTTCACCCAACGCAAGTTTCGTGAGAGCACTCGTTATCTGCTCGACAAGATGAGTTCCAAGTGGCGGCATGACCACTGCATTACCTATGGCTCTAGGTGAGGACAAGGACCACCTCAGTGTCACCAGGACCAGGCATGGAGCGATTTCGGCTTTAAGCTCCGTGGGGCAGAGATGGCTTCAGCTGGGGTCTTGCTAAAGGACGAGGGGACAGCACCTCCCAAGCTTTTGGCACTTTGAGCCCATCTCCAGCTTGCAGCCGCGCAGTATTAACCCTGTCACAGCACAGATTCGGTGTCCCCTCTCTGGCTTGGTTGCTCGGTCTTGAGCAACTCAGCACCATGTTTCCTTCGTGGCCAAGTCACCGATGCAATAAAAACCACTGGTGGGACCATGGAGAACACGGTGGGACCGTGGAGGACACAGTCCCTGGCTCAGGATGAGCTGCTGAAGGATGACTTCTCCCCTTCCCATTTAAAGATTCCCTGATGGGGCCATGTGAAGGCTGGAAAGGGTTGAGTTCAAGCTTGTACTTGGCTGGAGAACATGGGGCTACGTGCTTCTCCAGCTCAAGATCAGCATCACGGAAGTTTTTTGGGATAACACTGTGACATCCCTATCCCCTGGACCCCAGAATGGGGCCACACCAGTAAGAGACATGGGCCCAGTGGTACCACTGCTGCTGCAAAATGGTGAGAGAGCGTCCTTGGCCAGACTGGAAAGTGGGAAGGAGGACACAAGAGCAACTGGGACACCCATGCTGGATTTTCCACCCGAGCGATGACCACATGCTGATGGTCAAGTCAGTGGTGTTGTCGTCTTCCTGGAGACTTTCAGTATCATGTGTGTCCAGCTCCCTGCTCAACCTGGAATTGCCCATCCTGGAATTCTTGGTGCCCTTCTGTCACCAGGACCAACAAAAAACAGAGCCAGACACAACACTTGGAGTCAGGAAACCCACACCACTGAGCTTCTTGGTGTCCTCAACCATGTCACCACATGTCCCACCGTTGGCTTGGCCTCTGCACCAGCCCACTTTGTGTTGGGGCTCGAGCTTTGCTCTCCACAGCCTCCTGGCGAGGAGGGATTCACTTACACGGCGCGGGGTGGACGTGCGACTAATCGCTCTGCGAGTCACCTTTAACATCTAGGATGTATAGAATAAACCTCCCCCCACCTTTTCCAGATGGGTGTGCGCACGTATATACACCCACTAGCTATGCATACATATACATCCAATCAGGGGAAGGTTTGTAGCTCAGCACGGGCTGCGCGGTGCAGATATTCTCTGCCCTGAATACACTCGATGTATCCATACAGTGTATATATGTATATATAGTATCCATCCACCCATATATATATTTAGGGATAACTGGTTTGCTGCATTTCTTGCAGGTTGTCTGTGCGTAATAATTACATCTAAGGTGATTTAAGCAATTTGCTTCAAATCTCCAGGGATGAGCATCCGCCTGGCTTGGCTGCCCGCACCCGGCCAAGCGCACAACTTCATCCCCGCGAGTACACGGCGTCTTCCTCGGGTACCTGGCCACCCAAAAACCTCGCCGGCATCCAGGGTTGGTGGTCCTAGTACAGCCTCTTGCTGTCGTGAGGAGGAGGAGGGTGCCCAGGGTGGTCTTCAGCCCTTGGATGAAGCCCTTGGCTTGAATGGAGAGGGGTCCTGCAATGGCGTTAGCTCAAACCACTTGGTTTCTCAGGAGCGGTGGCTCTGTCCTGGTGGGGAGGACCATGCCTGGTGAGTTGGAGCACAGAATGGCATGGAGGAAGCAAAGCCAGCCCTGGGCTTTCCCTCAGCATGAGCTCACCCATGCCAAAAATCTCCTCCGAGGCATTTTTGGTGTCCTGCGATGGAAGGACAAAATGCTGAGGGGCCGCGAGAGCGGTGGCCGGTGAGACGATCCCAGCCTGGTGTCCCCATGTCTTTCCAGACAAAAGGCAGGGGACGGGGTGGGAGACTCTGGGCCACGCCGTCCCGACCCAGGAGAGGGCGCAAAACATTTAGATTTGGAGAAATCCAGCTGAGTCAGTGGGTGCCCACCCGGCTCCAGGGAGGAACGGAGGAACCCTGCTCTGTCACATCACCCTGGGCCTGGAGAGCACCCATGGGACGAGGTGGCCGGTCAAAATTTAACCACAATAAAGCTTCGAGGGGGAAAAAGTTGTTAACAGCTTCCCAAAAGGCTGGTGGTGGCTGCAGGGACAGCGTGGATCCAACTCCAGAACACCCCGATGAGGTCCCTGATGGTGGAATAGACAATTTTGGTTGGTTTTAATGGGTCTGATCGTGTCCTACCCAGCTTTGGAATCCTGACAGCAGTTCCCTTGATTTTATCAGGCTTGGAAGCCAGGGTGATGGGCACAGAAGGGCTGAAATGCATGGTTCTTGCCCAAATCCCATCCTGAGCACCAGGTGACCGTGGGGACATCACCCTTACGGCCGGGAGACACCCAGCCCTGGGGGAACCAGGAGAGGAGGGTGGAGGGAGGGAAGGAATACCTGCCGGGGTGGTGCATCTCCCGGCGTTGCCAGAGGCACTTTTAAATGCTGAAAAATGCGTTTATGGAGGGGGTTGGATTTCTTTTTAATCACCACCAGTTTTGGTGCCCCCGAGACAGAGCCAGCAACGTCTTTTCCCTGGGCAGGATGACTCTGCAGCCCCATCCACGTTGCTGAGGCCCCAGCTCACCCATCCCAACCACCTTCTTCTTCCTTTCACACTCCCAGAGATAAATCTGCTGTCTCAGGGGAAAAAAGGGTTACGGGCTGGAAATAGCAAGTGTTGACAAGCGATGCTAAAAACCCCCGAGAAAGTCTGTTTGCAGGGCAACGCGTCACCCCAGCTTTTTGCGAGCTGGCAACAAGGTGTTCTGCCCTTCCCAAGAGGAGTTGCAAAGCAGGAGCTGGAGAAACGTGCAGCAAAGGGAAAGGATCTCTCGCTGGCACTCAAGTTTTTGCTTAGTTATCCTGTTTTCCCCTACCAAAAAAAAAACAAAAATAGTTGGGAGGAGATAGAGGGAAGGG